GGGAGTTGTAGGGAAGACTGAGACCAGAGGCACTAAACATTGCGTGTGTGAGGGTGGATGTGTCTTCATTATATTTCCAAAACAAAAAAAGCTAAAACAGAATCTACAAGTCTAGTTTGTGCATGCCTAACGAGCGAACCGCGTCACAGCGTCAATAGTGCTGTCTGTGGTGTAGAGGTGAGACATTTCGCTTGCGCACGCAGGAGACCCAAGTTCGGTTCCCAAGTAGTGAGGAATTTAATCAAAAAATGTATCGCGGTCTCTCTGCTGAGATGTTGTATCTCTCTCAGCTCGGATTGACCTGCCAGGCAGGTTCGGAAGCCCTCCTCCTTAAAGATCTAAATTGTGTACATGTAGGTGTAAAAGCAAATACACTGAAAACGAGAAAAAAAAAACCTTCCCGCTGTCCCCCCCCCTTCCCCTCAAAAGAGAAAAACTTAGCGTCAATGGGCACACCCAGAGTGGGATCATCACAAGAGAACGCCTCACATAGAAAGTGTAACGAGCAACGACAGGACAATGAAAACGACTTAACAGGAGTAGGACAACCGTTTAGAATCTAGATAAATTTGACAAGGCCACACGTCTAAACTTTCTATTCTGTTGTAACGTACGCATTCTCATAACATGTCACGTTTGAATTCCTTTTCTCCGCATTCTCTTTCTCTTTTATCCTCCCCCCCCCCCTTGAAATCTTTCGCACTATTTGAGCAAATTACTTAAGAGGGGAAAATCCTGGAATGGGGACAAAAAATCTACCCCCCTGCAGTTTCTTCGAGATTTCTTGTGACGTTGCATCACGTCTGCACCCATCTTGTCAGAGAGAATTCCCTTTCTTTCCTAAACATGAACTCTCTGCCATGTCGATTGGCGTGTGAAATTCGTGCATCTACCCCCCCCCCCCAAGTGAGCCGGAGGTTAAGGACTATGACAGAAGTCACCAGACTGCCGGCTCTGAGTTGCATGCCCCTGCTGTTGCTGCTGGTCGTGTCGGTTGCACACGGCAGCAGTTGTCGAAACTCCAACTGGTGGGGCAGCTTTGACCAAAAGGACGGACTCTCAAAATGTGACGGCGGCTCGGACTACATCACAGGGTTGTACCGGAGCAAGCGCCTCATCCCAGACAGACTGGGCTTCATAGAGGAGGCGAAGTGCTGCCCCGCGCCCTCCCCGTACACCGGCGACAAGACGCAAGTGTTTTACGCCAACTGGTGGGCCAGCTTTGACCAAAACAACCGCTGGAACACCTGCCCGGCCGGCTTCTTCCTGCAGGGTCTGTACCGGACCGGAACCGGCGACCGTCTCTGGGATCTGGAGGAGGGTCGCTGTATGAAGCCGGCGTCCCATCCCTACGTCCACGGCCGTTGTTACGACCACGATATCACACTGGCCTTTGACCGGCAGGGCTGGGTCCGCTGTGACAACAGTTATTTCCTCACTGGCTTGTACCGGGGGGTGTGTGACGAGCTGTACTGTCTGGAGAAAATGAGATGCTGCAAGATGGAACCGGCCCCGAGCACGGTGGATTCTCTGGCCAGCGCCAAGAGGAAAGTTATGGACAACACGATGAGCGACATGGCTTACCTGGCACACTACCTAGGCTACGGCTGGTGCTCGGGGTGCCGCGCCGAGTTTGTCGGGGAGGACTTTCGGAAGAACGGGGACACCTGGGTGGCCGACAAGACAAAGCCGTGCTCCGGTGAGAAATGGGACAGCCGACTCAGTATGAGTTATGGGGACTGGAAATTCAGCATGGAGGACGTGGTGTACGACCAACCTGTGTTGGAGGACCTTCAGCCCGAGAGCATCGACTCCGGCAGTGTGGTGAACAACGCCGACTTCCCCGTCTCTCACCAGTTCTCCCGCACACAGGACGTGATCCGCTCGGTCTCCCACACCACCACAGACTCGTGGAAAAATTCGCATGAGCTCGGAGTCTCCATCGGATATTCCTCCTCCATCCTCACAGGTGGCTTCTCGGGAGGGGTCAGCTACAAATTCAACTACGAGACTTCCTCCTCCTCCTCCGATTCCTCCGGGGCGCAGCAGAAAAAATCGTTTTCCTTGACAGAGTTGGTGGACGTTCCGGCGCACTCCGCGGTCAACTGGACCCTCATCCTGTCCAAAACGAGGCGCACGGTGTCTTACTCGGCCAAGGTTCGGATCCACTTCTCCACAGAACTCCGCGGGTTCCTGAGGTGGGGCGGGGGGTATAACGGCGCCAGCACAAACTACCACATCCAGCACCGAGGGAGCGGCAGTCGACCCACGTTCAACTATCGGTTCGGAGACAGCAGTAAACCTTTCTACGAGGCCCTGAAGGGGGAGAGCGAAATGATGAGCCAGCCGTGGATGTGGGCGGACATGAAGGCCAACAATAGAGACAGCCAGAGTGTCATCGACAGTCTCACGAAAGAAGGCCGCTACGAGTTCACCCTGACGGGCAGGTTTGAGGACGTACAGGGCAAAGACGTGCGGGTCCAGTGGGGAGGCCCGCCCTCCGGGGCCGCGGGCAACCCGAGACAGGGGCGGGAACTCACTCGCCAATCTTTCCCGATAACTTCCCACGGAGAGATCGTTGCAAAAGCGTCTGCCGCTGATTTTGGACAATTCATAACCAGAGCTCCAATTTTTCCCACTCAGCTAATCACTCCCAGCCCAATAGAGAGGGGGGACACTTGGAAGTCTGTTCCTGCCTCTGGTAACTGAGAAACTGCTCACTTGTCCTCCCCTGCAGTGCACACACCACTTGTTGCCAATGCCAGAAAATTGGTGAACACGAAACGGTATTGTTCCAAGTCTTAACAATAAAATTTGGAGATCATTTTAGATTATGGAGAGGGGGGTGTTTTTTTTTTGTTGTTTTTGCTTTGTTTTGTTTCTTGGGTTTTTTTCAAGAAAGAGTGGCGTCTTCCTCCAGGAGCACTAATCTTTGTAAGATGACTTCACGAACCGACTTCCGACTCATCAAATGGCACCAGGCCCACGTCCAAAAAATATACGTCTTTAACTTCAAAATCCAAAAAAATTAATCATTCCGAGAATGACCTGGAAAATTTAAAGCTAAATCAAGATTGTTGTTGTATTGGTAGAATTACATGTATGTTTGTTGTTGTGAAGGTTGAATAATGTTGTTGTTGTGAAGGTTGAATTATGTTGTTGTTGTGAAGGTTGAATTATGTTGTTGTTGTGAAGGTTGAATTATGTTGTTGTTGTTGTGAAGGTTGAATTATGTTGTTGTTGTGAAGGTTGAA